TGGCCTTTTCCGTGTTAGCAAAGAGAGTTTCATAAGCCTCGATGTACGTATTGTTTTCAAAATCAGGTTGCAAGGCTCGACTGGGTACGCTCCTTCCGTCAACAGAAAAATTGAGATAATTACAGTAGAAGTGTTGAAAATTAAAGGGCGATCTATTATAGGTTCCGTTGTAAGCGACGGAGCTAACACACCCTATGACAAGAGTGTTTGGTACTTCTCCCTGAAACAAATCATCGGCGTTGAACGCGAAATGACCTGGGGACAAAGAATAGGTTTTAATGTTTGATCTACTGAAGGGGTACAATGCGGGTGTCTTCTTCATGGCCTCCCCGTGACCTAACAAAACGCCTGGATTGGGTTTTACAACGCAAATCTTTAAACAGGCATCTCTGAGATGTACTTTGAAACCGGGTAGGGTGCACAACAGTCTAGAGTTATCGGTGTGAGGCCACAGTTTAATCTGTAGCGGTACTCCGTTGAGCATCAATCGATCTTGTTGACATACATCTAGAAACAACGGACCTTCAAAGTCCACGACCTTGCCCTCCTTCGTGAAGTTGTATCTCATAAAAAGACCAGAGTTGCCACCAGTTTTAGGGTTGGGGTCGTCCATAAACCCGGCCGAGTCGGGGATGAAGCCCTCTGATGAAAGTTTGCTCTCTTGGGTCAGTCTATCCGTACCAAGAAGTGAATCCAGGTAAGCTTTGTAGGGGTAGTTAGTACCAAGTTGACTCACGGGTTGCTGTTGCAATTGAAGATCCACTTGTGAAAAGATGCTATTGAGGGGTGAATTCACCAAGCCGACAGGATCGTCTTGGTCTACGGGGTTACCATCGGGTTTCAGTAGTTGTAATCTGACGTGCAGGCGCGTCTTTTTTAAGTCTATGTAATTGATAGATGTAGCTGGGATATTAAATTCCAGAGGAGAGTCGTCTGTCAATTGGTTCACAGGTCTATATTCGACATAGTCTCTGCTTAACACCCCCGTGTCCTGGGGGTCTTTTTGAAAAAGAGTCAGGCTAGAGTCCAGTTGTTCCATCATGTGAGCAAAATCGGTAGGGTTTGTCAGCTCTTATAGGAAAGTGTATCGTCATAACGCCGCCTCTTTGCTTTCAGGGTCTCTTTAGCCATTTCCAGGGCCTGGGCGGTAGGTGACACAATTTTTAACGATTCACCCGCTCCTCTCTGCGGGCGGATGATGTGACGTCCCGGTTTAACCATGCCTTCACTCATGGCGATAAAATAATCTTTATATTTATCAACATCTGCGACGTACGGCACCCATCTCTTACTGGCATAGTCGTACACGTGAGTTGTCATTTTTTTTGCTTCAAGTGAAGGGTGCAGGTCAGCGTACCATGAAAATGCAGGTCTTCCAAGTTAATGTCTCTTATAAAAAATTTCAAGTGGCTGAGATAACTCCTCGTAATTTTCATGTAGTATGGGTCGCTGAATATCTGCATGGGTTTAACATGATCTATCGGTCTCAGCACAGGGTAAGTCTTATTTCTAACCACAGACTCTTCGCAAAAATCTACCCCGAAATAAAAGACGTAAACCTCCTCGTATTGATATTTCTTTCAGAGCACACATCCAATCACCGTGTAGATTTAACGCCTGGGGCAAAGTTACTGTAAATTCTCCAGGTCGATCAGAGGTCACCAAAGCATCGTGGTTTGTTATGAACAGGAAATGTTCTCTCATAATCTCAGAGGTAATTCTTGACTTCCGAGGCTTTAATCCAGGAATCAAATTTTGGAGGGTAAAACAGCCACCTCACCAGCACCTGTCCTTTTTTTCGTTTGAGAATCTTCTCTATTCTGAATGACGTGTTCTTGTCTACGAGGACTCTTTGCAATTCCGAGTTGTAAAATGTACCCTCGATGGGCTCTTTATCCCAGTCTTCTAAAGTATAAACGGGTATGTTCTGTCGCCGCCTGCGCGATTTTATTCTGAATATTTCTCCAGTAAATTTCTGTTGATACTCGCGATCAAACTTGCGCTTCAGATGAGATATGCGTACCAAGTCTCCGGGTTTGAATCGATAGGCTCCCCTCTTATTGGTCTTTCCTTTTCTTATTAAATACTGCTGTAATCTTACTTCACTTTCGTTTTCTTTGGATACATCAGAGGGTGACGTGCCGAGAGAGCGGTGACGGGTATGGTTGTAACTGCTTATCAAATCGTCCAGGTGATCGATGTAATTTTTCTGGATCGAAGTCAGCCGAAAGATTTTCATTTTTTACAGTCTTGATGACACGCTCGACGTAGGCACATTTAGTTTCATTCTGGGAAGTAAAGAAGTGAATGTTGTTTTCCTTACAAAAGGACTGAAATTGTTTATTTTTAAACTCTTTTCCTTTGTCGGTTCTCAGTGCCTTTGGTGTCCTTCCTTCACCAAGAATGGCTCGGAAGGCCTCCAGAACTTGATAAGCCGTTTTCTGTTTTATTGCTCTGCAGCAAACGTATCTGGAAAACACATCGATAGTCACTAGAGCGTAGCGGTATCCTCTATTATCAGAAGCCAGGGCCGAAAGATCCATGAGATCCGCCTCCCACTGACTGTCGAAACCTTCAACCAACACCCTGTTTCTTGGAAAATTTCGCCTCACCGGACGTGTGAGCGTGTAAGTGTCTTGTTTTTGCAACCATTTCCGGATTTTATGTAAACTTATAGAATATTTACCCTCCGAAATGAACTGTGTAGTTAAGTGGCTCCAGCAAAACTAGCCGGACTACCGGGTTTATAATATATATTTTTAAGGTAAGTTTCCCAGGCCGGCATGGCTAGTTTATAAATTCTTTTTAAATATTCTCTTATAACAATTTACACAGTACCGGTTACACGTATCGGCGAAGCTGGCGTGTTTTTTGTAACTCCTGAAATGATAATTTTCCCAGAATGAAAACACGTAAAACAGACGGGTCCTTCGTTAAGTATGGCGCCCGGAAACAGTTCTGGCTCGTAACGAGCGCCATCTATAGTCGACAAATCTAGTCGTTTGCCCAAGTCGTGAAACAAGGAGACGGTCAAGATTTTAAATTTACTCAGATGTACCTGGTAACCCATTTGTTGTATTTTTCGAGCGTAGCGACGGATCCGCCTTCTAGCTTCTTCCTTAGAACTCACACCGCCATTGCATACCAATTTCCCCTTTGCGTACACAAAGCAATGGCCACCTATTTTTCTGTGCCTCCAACTGACCACATTATGTTTTATGGCATCGTAATGTACGTTAGTGGCTTGGAGTGTAAACAATCTCAAATCGAGAGTACAGCCTAGGTCGGCAGAACACACGATATTACTAATCTGAACCATGACTGAGAAACTTTTATTTCGATACAAGCATATATATATATATATATATATATATATATATATATATATATACAAAAAGTATTACATAAAATGAGGTAAGAGTTTTGTGATACTGTCACTCGAACGCATCAACTCTGTCCACTGGTGCTCGTCCAGATAAATCCCCTTGATGGTGGCTTTTCCATTGACGAAATGGCGCAGGTCTACTCTCGTCCTCCCTGTATATGTACATACAGTTGCATAAACGCTATTTCCCAGATGCGTTTGCGAAATCTTGGTGCAGAGAGTCGCGTTTAGTGAGGGTAATGAAGGAGCACAGGAGAGAAAGGGATGATTCTCCTGTTTAACGCCGAGAAGTATAGTAATGGTAGTGCTATACAACATGAGTATTACGCCAATACCCTTAATCACATTAAAATGGACCTTCATGCGATTCTCTGTTAGGGCATCCATTATAATTTGATCCACTTCTTGGTGCCTGGAGGCTTGGGGACTGGTTTGGTCTCTTTGCGCTGTTGGTCCTTTAATAACTGTTGATAACGTTCGTAGGGTATGACGACGTGTTTTTTCATCATCTGAGAAGGGCTTGCGCCACTTGTAATAAACGTGTTATGGGTTTCACGCTTAAAACTCTCCTTTTTCTGTCGTACGATGTTTTACTTCCAAGGACTCTGTAGACTCTCTTATAGGGAATCAGTTTTTCCTTCTGTTCTGTCGACAGCGGAATGTTCCCGCGCAATAAATTGACGGCAATCTCGGATAGCGCTCTTATCTGAGTTTTAGAGGCGTTAAGAAGGAGAATTTTCCTCTGTTTTAAAGAATTTTTAGACAGCAAGTATTTGAAAAACAGATTTTGTTTATGTAAAGAGTCACTCATGTTTTTTTTTTTTTACAAACACATCTCATTTGACTTCTTATAGATAGATGATGGGGATCTCTCCCGGAAATATTCTACTACGTAATCGAAATCGATCGTCGGAGTAAGGAGATGTATCTATTACCAGGTAGCCGTAAGGTTCTTTTAAACAGTCTTGGTAAGCTTCCGTCACAAGGCGCCCTCTACCGAGCTGTCGACCGAGGGTCGAGACCATGAACACATCTCTCAAGTTTTTCATCAGTACTGTATACCAAGTATTCAGAGCGATGGTTCTAGATTTCTTACCCTGATAAAACAGAGCTTGAGTTATAAGAATCACCGAAATGTGTTTATGATGGCACCCTTGGGTAAACAACAATTCTACATCTTGACTTTGAACGACCTGATGCATGAGATCGTCCAGGACGATTAAACTATGCTGACCGTCACTAGAGAGCGACTCCACGTCTTCTGCAGTGGGAAGTCCCTGTTGAAAGGTAATATTAGGAATCGAGTTTTCTATCTCTACAAACAAGTCCTGATACACTCCGTAACAGTATAACACTTTTTTGGGCGGATTTCTGCTGTACGTCCGGTAAATGGTGCAAGAATCGATAAACCAGTTGCTTTTACCGCTACCTGTAGCCCCAGTAATTAAAATGCTACTGCAAGGTTCAAAGGGTATGACTGACATTTTTGTTTGTTTTGATGAATATAAAAAATAAACCACCCTCTTATACATTTTTTTATATAAAAAATCATTATATTCTTGAATTTATTTAAATACACACAAACATACACATATGTCAATTAAAGAAAAATGATTAAGAAAGTCAATAACCATACGGAACTGTCGTCATATCCGCTTTCAGGACCCGTTTCGTGTAAACAATCTGATACTGTTTACTTTCATCTCGGTTGAGGACCCTGCAGCTGGCTTTGTCGCGAATGATTTTTGATTTCTTTGGTGTATCCAGTTTTCTCTTTTTCCTGGGAGGTTCGGCGCGCTCGTCTTGAAGGAGGTCCTTAATGGAATCAAAATTGATAATTTGAGAATTTGTGTAGTTCAGCGTAAAGCCTTTAACGCACACCTTTTCTACGCCTCGGTGGGTGCGATACGCGTAGTTCTTGGGCCCGCCGCTCACAAATTCTTCAATGTAGTCTCCCTCCTCCAACTCGTTGGTCAACTCCCCCAGGTAGTCGCCTAAGGGGACTTCATTCTCCGTGGGTCGACAGACGTATATGACACTGTCCGTGTCATGATAAAGCACATCTTTCTGTAGACTGTCCAGGACATCGTACAGCTTCAGTCGGGCCCACGCCGTCGTAAATGTCGCTAAAAATACATTGGTTTTAGAGTCCTCCTCCGCCCACTCGCTGTCCACGGCTCGAAAATGCACCTGAGCGACGTTTTCGGTCTCGATATTAAAATCAATGACTTCCTTTGTCTTGTCTGTCAGGAGATGATAGAACTCTTCGAGGTCCGTCCGATAAAAGAAACGAGTGGAAGGTAAGTTACTTCTTTGCCCGAGTTTACCCCAAAAGGAATTCAAGCACATTTTGGCCACCGCGCGTAAACCCGGGTTCTTTTCTACGTAAGCCCAGTCTAACTTGATGCCTTCGTTTTCGAAGTACTGCTCTAAGTATCGACGGCAGTCGTCTTGCGTCTACAAAAAAAAAAAAAAATAAAATAAAATAAATGTAGGAAAAAAAAATAATAAAAATGTAAACCAAATTAAAAAAAAAAAACTTACCTGACACCAGGCCGGGAAACCAGAAGCTTCTTGTTTAAGCTTTAAAAAAGCATTAATGTAGCTGGTAAACAGCCCGCCCTCTTGAGTTTGTTCATCATACTGTTCCGTCTTGGTCCAATGGTACACTTCGTAGATTCGGCCTATCCGATACCCTTTTCGTACGGCCAAGTCTAATTCGGGCGTCGTCCAGGTCCCGATGATGGCGCGCTTCTCGTCGTCATGGGTACAGGGAGTTTTCAGTTCCTGGTCCGCGCAGGGCATACAAAGAGCAAACTTGAGTTTGGCGTTATTCTTGACCGGAAGTACGGGAAAGAAGAGCTCTCGAGGAGGGTACACCTTGACTTTAGCCAGTCCAAAGTATTGATCCAGAGCCTGAAAGTCTTGTCGCACAATTTGAGGGTGTCCTACAGGATAGCGGCAAGTCTTGCTGGTCCAGGGGTAGAGACTGGTAAAGTCCACATATCTAATTTCCTCGCCAGGTTGTACCTATGAACAGAGACACACACATAATAAATATATTCGTGAGGGGAGTTTAATAAAAAGAAAATTTTTGAGAAAATATATTCACCTTGTAATGTAGACGTATGGCGTTGGTCCGTCCCCCGAAAAAGCTATCCCGGGGATCTAAGGGAGGTTGAATGTCCAGGGCGTAGACGAAACGACGCATGTCGGGATCGTCTCGCAGTTGCCGGTGAAATTCGTGCTCCCAGACACTTTCGTATTGGTAGCCCGCCTCCCGGATCTTTTCCTCTCGGCGTTTGGTCAGTTCAAAGAGTTCGATCAGGGTCTGACCCGTCCCCGGAAGTTTGGTCGTGGAGCGGTCCTTGGGAAAGCAAGTGGGACAGCCGTGCCAGCGACATCCTAGAAATTCAAAGACTCGGTTTCCCGCCAACCCGTCGAACTTGATCCGCGTACCCGGTAAGCGCGCCTCCCCGCCGCCGCCGCGCAGCGCGTGCCGGATGTCCAGTTGGCGGGAATGGGCCAACCATTCTAACCACCGGATGCCGCTCACACTGTAGTGGTCTCTCCGGTGATAGCCGTTAGGTGGAATGACGGCGATGGGGGACTTGTGAAATCGTTCCTCGATTTTTTCCATCCCTTCCAGCTCCAAGTCCGAGTAGGGAGTCGTACTTCCGTCCGGAAGACGTAGGGTCAAAGTGCCGGCTCGGTAGTGGCCCGTGTACCATCCCTCGTCTTTCAAGGGTCGGACTATCTCGCACTTGGGGTTGGTCAGTACCATGTCGGTGGCGGATTCAAACTCTTCCCTGGAGTACCAACGGTTCTGGTAATGAACCTGGCCGTCTCTCGCAGGTAGCTGGAGACCCGTCGCTCGACCTAGTCGCACTCGGACTTCCTCTCGTAAATGACAGGTGCGGAAGATGGTCATGCACATGCTGGCTACCGTCGACGAAGCGAAGGGGTCCACGAGATCGTCGGTGGCTTGAGCGATCAGGGCTCGGAATTTCAGGCAGGCGTCTCGTAAGATGGTGACGTCACTGCGACAGTAGTCTTTCATTTCCGTCGCGAAATCAAACACTCGATCTCGCTGTTCCGCGTGCCATCGTAGGAAGTCGCTTCTGCCCGAGGCGGTCATGTGATCGATTCCGTATTCTTCGGGAGGTGGGTACGGACCGACGTAAGTCTGGTTTTCCGGTCGATTGAAGAAATGGGGAAAATAGCCTTTCTTCAGTTCCGTCAGTCCGAACGTTTTGGGTAGGCGGGATAAAGGCATCTGGAAAAAATTCAAGGAATCCAAAAAGCGCATATTCAGGCCCCGACCGACGGTCATGCTCATGATCTTGGAGCCGCTATAAATGATGTGCTGGGGCGGAAGTCCGTTTTCGATCAGATACCGGAGAATGAAGACCCCGTCGTAACCCCTCATGTTATGCGCGATGACGATGGCACCGGCGTTGTTCTCGTTGAAGAGCCATAGGCAGAAAGTGTTGGCCGTGTCGGGTCCGGAAAATATTTCCTCCCGGAGTCCGCAGGTCTCGGGACAGGGCGGTGATACAGACTTTTTTTGGGTCTTTTTTCCCGCACTTGGCACATCGGGATCCGCATTCTTCGCATCGCTCTCCCTGCTTGTTTTCGCACGTTTTGCACACCCATTGCGCGACGACGAAATTAGGGCGGTGGACGAGTAGACCGCAAGTCGTCTGGGTACAGTTTTGACAGCGTCCTTCCGGATCGGGGAGGTATCCGTCGGAACAGGTGTACCTGGCGATAAAACACATCATGAGAATACAACTTTAATGTGGAATTTTTTTTTTGTTAAATTGTAATGAACTATTTATAAGCTTCGACTGAATCAAAAATTACGTCGTCCTATACATTAATGATTTTTTTTTTATATATAAAACTGTATATTGGATTATATATATAAAAGTCTTTCTTCTATTTTAGTCTAAAGTTATCATAACACATTTTAATAGCGAGATGCATACCTTTCATTTTGACTGCATTCGAAATCAAAAAATATTAACTTTTGCCAGCGGGTCTCGGCGGGTGGTAATGCTCTCATGTAGCATAAATGGCTTTCTTCTACTGTTTCGTTACATTGCTTACAGTGCCATTCTCCGCACACGTGAGGTTGTTTTTTCAGGTCTCGACCATGCCGATTTACGACCCGGTAACATGTGAGACACCTCCAGTACCTACAATGATCCATGACAAATATATAAATTTTATACTGAGTTAAGAGAAAAAATATATTTAAAAAAATATTTAAGACCTAGTATGGCAACAATTACTTAACTCCGACTCAGAAAATATACTTAAAAAAAAAAACTTGGGAAATTTGTGTTTGAATGTTTTAAGAGAGAAAACTCTACAACATTAATAATACAAAAGACACCTGCTTAGTTCCTTTTTTCTGATTCCCCCCCCCCCCCTCCCCCCATACATATTTGTGTAAAACTATGTAATAGCCCCTGTGTGACACCTGTTAACTAATGTATATACATGTATAAAGTAACGTTATATGTATAAGCCATAAAGCTACTTCTAAAATGATTCTGTAAATTATATACTAGTAGATGAATTTTGTTTTAAATCATCATACATAAATAACCTGCACTTACCTTTGACACTGGCTCTGCTTTTTGCCTTCGTCCGTGTCTCGATGTGCTTCGTAGCAAGCCATCGAGCGACAGGTCATGTTACACTCCGGGCACGGAATAGACTGGTCCGTCTTGGGACATTCCCCGAGTCTCTTGCACACGAGACAGGGCTTGCCGCAAAAATGGCGGTTTTTGTCGGTGTAGGGTTTGAGGCACAGTTTACAGAAATAAGATGAAGAGAAAAATCCAGTAATGGTCACGACGGCATGGAAATGATCCTCCCCTACCAAGTATAAAAACAGTTGAGGGAATTCCGTATCTTGGCCGCGATAACATATCCTGATCCCTAGAGAAGCGTCCAACACTATAATTTTTCGCTCCAGATAAGTCTCAAAGCGTTGAATGTCCAAGATGGTGCATTTCCTATCCGAAGGTAGTCCCACTTGCCTCAACAATTCCTCTGCCAAATCTGTTTGCGCCTTGGACCCGGGCTTGATCATATTTTTAAAATGGCTATTCGGCATTTTCCGGAATTCCATTATTAGGTCCAGATTGGTTTTTTTCCCTCGATTTTGTGTTATGGAATGCCACTCCTCTTTTGGACACTCGATCGACCTACCCCACGTTACAGCAATGGCGCGCGCCATGCACATGTTGTCGTCGTTCACTATTTGTATGATGGACTGTTTCCTCTTGAGGGAATTGTTCTCGCCCGTCAGTTGATTTATGTACACTTTACCCCCGCCTTTCGGCAGAGCAATAATACCAATGTCCATGTAAAAAATGGAATCTACCTTCAATTTTTGGTGGCTGTTTAAGACGTTCTGAATAGTGTTCATAATGGCGGGAGCCGTCAAGTTTTCCAACGGCCTCAGGGGGACCACGATGGGCTCCAAGTCCTTGTGATGAACCACGACGCGCCCCAAGTCGCTACTCGGATGTTGTGCGGTGGCTTTATCCAAGGCCGTTTCAAACATTCCATTTAACTCTCTGTGCAAGTCTCTTAAATTTCTCCCCTGCCACTTTTCGTGAAATTGAACTTTGTAAGTTTTCTCTCGGGCTTTAGTCTTCATAAATGTTCTCTCATGGGCCAAACTAAAGTAAGCCTGACCCTCCCCGCTACCCGACTGATGCATCTGGCAGTCATTGGTTTTATGGCGCATCATGTCGTCGTATTTCTTAAATTTACTGAAACACCTTGAACATTTAAATGTTTTCCCCGATTTTTGCTTTTTTTCTTTTTCCGTCTTTTCTATTTCATCCAATAACTTTGTCATTTCTGCTTCGTCTTCTTCGTCTTGCAAAAATTCAATGATGTCGTCCATGACTTGGTCCATTACACTGTCCAAAACAGTATTCAAGAAGGGAGAATTCATGTTCACTCTCCAGTCAAAGATATAATTATGAAAATCTGGGGTATATATATATATATTGGTGTCCTTGTGTTACATGCACTGGCTTCTTGTAAAATAATACCTAATCATATGTATGTGTGTACCCTCAAGGTATATTCTGATCTCTCACTTATATATTCTGATCACTCACTTATATAAAAACAACTCTAAATACTAGGATCAGTTATTTAACAATTTTATTTTTGGCCCAGAAACATGGTAACAACATCATGCATACATTTCCTGAGAAAATTATTGTACAGTCGTTGGCACATGCATGAAGGTAAGTTCATTTATTTTCTTTTCCTGAGAAAAATATTGGTCCCTCTGTATAAAGTCAGTTTAACACATAAAAAATTATGACTGGTCTTTACAAAGCACCATAGTAAAAAGGAAAAAAAATGTACATTCATAGGCATGCTTTTCCTGAGAACAAGTATCGTTGGCACATGTGTAAAAGTCAACATAAAACAAAAAAAGTTAATTGATAGTTCACACTGGTTTCACAAAGTACTGTAATAAAAATGATAATACAAAATATAGCAAAATGTAGAGAGTTTCTATTTTTTTTCGTATAGCACCGTATTTAATGTAAGAAAAATTGCATGAATAATATTGGGAATGATACATACATGGAGGTATAATTGTAAGAGGTAGTTTGCATTAATGGAGGGAAATAAAATGTTAGGCTATGTACACATAAGAAATTTGCACACACACATATATATACAAAAATGACCAACTCTAGTACATTAAGTGAGCTTTTTTTTTTTAAATAACATCATAATTAATGTAAAAAAAAAAATTGAACGAACAGTAATTTGGAATGGTACATATATGGACATATTAAAAAAAAGGATATTGTTTGAATTCATGGGGTAAAAAATGTCATGCTATTACTAGGCATTCATTTAAAAAATGCAATCTGTTGTGAATTTTTTTTCTTTAATAATGTAAACATGATAAATTCGCACACACACACACACACATATATATATACACACACAAAAAAAAAGATAATAATGAAACTGACTTAATGTATGTTAATGAGTATTTGAAAGACTTTCTGAACCATAAAGAAAACAACTTATTGTTGGCACAATTTGAATACAACATATGAATGAAGGTTTTTTTTTTCGAACAGATGTAAATAAAACGTACAAAAAAATTTTTTGAGGTTAAAAAAAAGGTCAAATAACAATTGATTGTCATTACATAAAAAAACAACTTGAAAATGTTTTTATCACACACAAAAAAAAATTGACACCTCAAAAAATCCACTAATTTCTGAACCATAAAGAAAACAACTTATTATGCAGTTTGTTGGCACAATTTGAATACAACATATGAATGAAGGTTTTTTTTTTAACAGATGTAAATAAAATGTACAAAAAAATTTTTGAGGTTAAAAAAAAGGTTAAATAACAATTGATTGTCATTACAAAAAAAAACAAACTTGAAAATGTTTTTTATCACACACAAAATTTGTGAGCATCAGAGTTAATGTAATATCCAATAGTATTTTAAATGGCACAAAAATAAAACAAACTACTCTGACTATCATACATGAATAAAAGGGTAACATATAATTGTTTCAAACTGTTTGTCTTAAAGTTGGAAATGTTTGTCACAATTAAAAAAAAAAAACTATACTACTCTGATACTGTACATTGTTGTATGCTGGCCCATGTTATATTGAGATTTTATACAGATAATAAAAATTTGAAATTTTCACATTTGTCCAAAAAAAAAAAAACCCCAAACAATAATTTTATAAAAAATGGAAATATCTGATACAAGTTAGAAAAAAACCCCAACTACTTTATCCCAAAAATTGCATTACATTGTTAAACGGTTGACTGGTCTCCTCACTCTTGTGGATCTTCTCAAGACAGGTTGGGGCGGTGCTTGCGGTTCGGGTACATTGTTGTCTGTGGGCGGTGCTTGCGGTTCGGGTACATTGTTGTCTGTGGGTGGCAGTGGTTGAATTTCTCTTTGGACGGACCAGCATATAATGATGATGAGTAACCCTGTAAACATTTAATGGTGGTTTAGGCTATTTTGCTGTGTGGCTCAGGGAAAACTATATCGCTGGAACTACTTATACTAATCATTTCAATTCGTTCACTCCTTCTTTCCTTCTGTGTTTAAGAATTATGACTGTGATGAAAATGGCTAATGCCATCAGTCCTGTTATACCTATTTTACAAAATAAAATGAGATGCATACAGTCTAACTTTTAAGCACTGGATTAAAAAAAAAATAAAATAATTTTTAAAAAAATATTGAAGTAGACATACCTCCTGCAATTAATCCAATAATGGCATCCTGCATTAACACTTTAGGCGCTGGGGTTGTCGTGGTGGATCTGCGGGTAGAAGTAGTATCGTCAAACTCAGTCGATGTGGCTGCACGGTTCTGTAACAATATTATTGACACATTATATAATGTTATGGGCAATATGATTAAATATTTAGGATTAAACATATAAATCTTACCGAACAGGTTCTGGCCTTGACGATCACTATTCCAGCTGCCTTCACGTTACGACACGCTGCTGCAGGGTCTGATGTCTCCTCTATCACTACTTTCCTCGCATTTTCCGCCAAAACCATAGTCCTTGCCTGTAGCCTAGCGATGTACACGTTCTGGATACCTTCCTCCACTTTGAGCGTGCTTTTGACTTCCCCGCATCTTAACAAAGTTTCTCCGAAGGTCTGGCATTCTGCATTTACGGCTACAATCAACCAAAAGAGCAGGAACAACATTTTGATGAGAATTTTGACTTGTCGAAATGAAAACAGTGAAAAAGTAAATAAAGAAAACGAAGTGGGTGAAGATAGCATTCTCCGGAAAAGTGTGTGAAAAAAAATGTCAGACGGAATATTTTTTCCGAATTATATCTGGGTGTATGAAACGGATTGTTTTACAGTAATAAATACACGGATTTAGTGTGTTCTATACACAGAATGTATGCAGTGGTTTTCCGTCACTTATAGAGTGTGGGGATATTTTTTCTCCAGAATTATACCCTGGCGTATTAAATGGATTATTTATTTTTTAAATATACGGTCTATGGGTGTTCTGTACTTATAATTTTAGGGTAGTTCTTCATAGCTGTAGGGTACATGTTAACCAATATTTTTATGCAGTGCACTTTAGATTCACTTATACCCTTTATACCATTAGTATATCTTGTCGGGTGTTACTTGTGATTATATATATAGATGTTATACAGTGAGTATTAGCTGACCTTTACCTGTAGATGACCTGTACTCTTTACGCCAGAGTACCTGTGTGGTTGTTACCTGTGATTATAGTCTATACGCCATACGCCAGTACTACACATATACTACTCTCGGTGTAGGTTAACTGTAAAGTATGTTATAACATATTCAAAACGAAAAACGGGGGAAAATACATCTTGTTGACATACAACTCGTAATTACATATACAAAACAAATGGAAAAAATTATATCAAGTTAAAAAAAATATATTAATATACATGTAAAACATACACACAAAATGATCTATATCGTAATACATGAAACACAAAATATTATAAAAAAAAAAATAAATAAATACTAGGAAATAGATAAATATACATGTGAACAGTTTCTTCATTGTTTGCCCTGAAGAAAGAAGTTCAACTGTAACGACACGAAAACTTTTCCAATCTCCTTCATCGGGAAAATCTGAAAGAAAAATTTAAAAGTACATATAATTTCATAACTTCAAAGAAAAAAAAAGTGTTTCATTCCGTTGGAAGCTGCAAGTGTACAAGATATAAAAAGAAAATATTTACATGTTAGCCATCAAAAGCTGTGTTGGTCCAACTTCTCTCTCATGTTTTTGTCCTTCAGGTGTTAGACGGAAAGGCGTCGACAAAACATATTCCAACTTGACCTTTTTTGTCCAAGGTCCGGTCTGACCCTTTTCTGTTGCAATTGCAAGATGTCCAAGATGCTGTTTGTGATCTCCCGTACCACAATAAATTAAAGTCCAGGCTTTTTGATATCTTAAGTAAAATATCCAAATATGAAACAGATGTGTCAGACTCTGTAGTATCTTTGATCTCAAGCTCACCAGGATATATCGTATCGACATAAGAATGGAAATAACCATTGTTAATTGACAATACGACGTCGATATATCTAAATGTCGAGTTGAAGGCCACAGTAAGTGTTTTCTTCATTTCACGTATAAGATTTTGGACAAATTCTGCTTCATATGAATACAAAAAAGAGTCTGCTAAAATGGGGCGCAATTGGTACCCATGGAAATTCCAATAGATTGTTGGAAGACCCCGTCTCCAATAACGAAATAGATATTGTCAATCAGAAACTCAAGCATCTTTTTAATGTCAACTTCAGAGTACTTGTGTGTACAATCAGAATGTTTTTTAACAAAATAATTTTGCAAATGACCAATGACAAGGTAAGTAAATTTACGTTTTATTGAAAAAGCAGTTGTCAATGATATCAAAATGCCTGGATTTTAATTTATCGTGGGGAATGGTTGTGTGTAAAGTTGAAAAGTCGTAAGTTTTAAGGTGTTGATTTTGGTAAAATCTTGTGATTTCAAATTTTCCAAAAGTTCCTTGGGATTTTTAAGTATCCACATCTGATTTACACCACTTCTCGAATATATTGTT